GAACTCATGCTGAGGTCCCAACACTTTGGCACTGAATTACCTCTGTTAGTGGGACGAGGTAAACCTCTATATCTGGGATTTGTTCTTTCGATTTATCATCATAGTTACCTCTATAACTGCGATAACAATGTTTGTTTACTCATTCTTATTCTCACCCACAAACTCCACACGTAATTCCAAGTCGACCTTTATTAACGGAACCCTCTGTAAATGAGACAGATATTTATTTATACCTGTATATCTGAGACACTAGGTAAGTGGAATACCGCTATAAGTGAAACGACTTTGCAGGTCCCTTGATGTCTCAGTTAACCAGGTTTCACTGTACATGTCTAAATATTATTTGAATTTGTGTCGAAGGAAGACGATGTTTCATACTAAAAGATTTTTTTATATTAGAGGTGGCGAACTAAGGCCTGCCAGATGGATAGCAGTTACTGTAATATATGGACGTCTATTACACTAGAAGTTATCGCTTCCATTTTGAAGATCTTACTCATGAACTAATTAAAAATGTCCTAAATGTTATGTAATATCTATTCAGAGAGATTCGAAAGTAATATTAAACATACTGCTATTAAACCACAAAAATAAAACAATAAAAAATAAGCTCTTCATTGAGGATAACAAAATAAATTGTTTCCAAAAATAGATCCAACCTAATACGATCCAGAAATATGAACTTCCAACACAACTAGAGGAAGTTGATGTAAAAATATATCTGTCTACAAATGTTATAAAGATGGAATCCCACGTGTATTGATCTAAACGAGGTTCAGACTACTTCAGACGGGAACACCGTCTCGTCGATACGAATGCTGCATTGAACATGTACGGTGACGGTGAATAATGACCACGTGAAGCCACGTGACATTGATGTGATGGAATTTAAAAGAAATTTTGTTATACAAGTATACTCGAAAATGACGCAAGTATATGAACGCACAGGAGTATATTCCGTCACTCATGGAATTGTCATCATTGCAATAGTGTGATACCACACCCCCCAATGATTTAAAATGAAATTATAGAATGGATAAGGATCACATAGGATTAAACACAAGATTTTGTGTACATCTTACATACAAATTATTTTGTATTGTTTCGACAATTCGGGTCGATTCATACCCGCACGGAGCAACTCTTTGTGTGATCCACAAATTGTTGTTTCGGGTCTGGGTGTCATGTGTATCTGAACATGTATGTGAAGAAGACAGAGGGTCGGCTTGCGAGGGATTTGGAATAACAACACAAACACCACTATTACTTTCACTTTTTATTCACTTCCGTTGTTCCTTGTTCCCGCTAGGGGCGCTGGTTGTACTCGCCAACGTCAGGTTTGACGAGCAACCTAACCAAATTGATGTAACGAAACCATAGCGCGATCTATCTCGATATTAACGCCCTCTATCGAGCGACGTGACAACTCTGACTAATAATATTTTATTATATTAAATGTTGATCGCGCTATGATCCCGTTACCGCTCCGAACATGCCGCCCACCAAGGACATATTGGACAAATGTCCTTAATTTAATACTGCCCACCATGCTATATTTGCCATATCCAGGGTCGCAACCCATTACCCAGACGTCCTTGGCGGTTCCAATGTATATAAACAATAACATCACCCAATAAACAATATAAATATAAAACACCCCCTAAACTAGTCACATAAATTTAACACCTATAACAAAATAAAATGCTTCCAAATTACAGTTAACAATATTAAATTACACATATGTATGTATACCTATTGCATCTTATCAGATTCCTGGCAAATAGGACTTTCTTAACATATAGTTTTGGACCCTAGAATGTATAACTGTAATATTAGAATCTATATTAGGATTTTCTACGTCAACTTTCCCAGACAGTATCCAGCCCAACACAGTATTCTGCGCTAAGAGTGTGCCGTCTACGTTTTTCTTTAGTCCGTGTCGAAAGACATGAGACCAGAGGTTTATTCTCCGCTGGTACGAAACCGCCTACCTTATTAACCGATAAGGTTCCCTCTAGAGCAGCCGGTCTGCTCTCCCTAACTGCCAACCCAGAAACATCCGTGGGATGTATCAAAGAATGATGGCGGCGTTTACACACCCTACACCGGAGAGTATTCTTGCAAAACTTAACTGAGTGATTATTACTAAGGCAAATGAAACATAAATTATTTTCTTTTACAATATTTCTACGACTATCTGCTGACTGTTTACAAAACTTAGGGCACGAAGAAATTCTATGAGCTGCGGAACAGTACTCGCATGTAATATTTTTCTTTTTAATATCTTTCATTACATGAAATGATTGCGTTTGCTTTGAGATGTTTTCAATTTTGTTTCCCAGATTTTCCAAACCACGAAACCGACTGATTAAAAACTCATTCAGTTGGTCAAAAGTTGGCAAATCGTCTTTTGAGTCTGAAGCAACCTGCAACTCCCATGCTTTCCGAGTCTCCCTGTCTAACCTGGTACTAACAATATGTACTATCATTAAGTCCCATGATGAAATATCGACACCCAAATTTTGTAGTGAACTTAAACAGTCAGATGTTGTATTGATCAGCCTTTTAATTTCCGTAGCTGATTCTACTACCAATGCCTTTTGTCCAAAAAGTCGTTTTAAAATACCATTTGCCAGAAACCTTTTGTTGTTATACATAGATTCCAACTTTTCCCAACTTGCCTTATAATTATCTGCAGTAACATTTACATTTTTTAACAGTAGTTCTGCGTCTCCAGTTAAATATCCTTTGAGGTAGTACATCCTTTGTGCATCATCTAACCTTTTATTTTTGTGTACCAACCCAACAAATAAATCCCGAAATGTCTGCCACTCGTGATATTTACCAGAGAACACAGGTATCTTTACATCCGGTAACTTAAAATTACATCCTGCATTACTACTTCCTATGTTGCTACTTGTATTATCAGTCTTACATTGAGCCAACAGTTCTTTAAGATCACTCTTAAACTGGACATACGTTTCTTCAACCTCATCATACACACTATCCTTATGATAACTGGAATTGTATAATTCAGACCGTTTAATTTCAGTTATTATTTTCGAATGTGTATGATAAAACGTTTGCCAATACTGTTCTAGACCTTCCAAGCGTGTTTCAAGGTATGACGCAGTAAGCCGATCTTTTGAACTCTTTTTAACTATTGAACGGGCCTTTATTATCTTGGACCTAACCTCATCCTGAATAGCACTGTAAGACTCCATATCTATTTGTAAACAATAACCCAGTAGCAAATATAACAGTAACAACAATATTAGGAATGTAAAATTAAAACAATAATTACAAATCTACCAATAAACTAAGTCACTTAAAGTCTCTAGAAACACTTTAAAATTACAAGTTTCCGAATCACATTTATTACAAGACTTGTTTGAACTTTTTACCTTTTATCTCTAATACAAGTCCTATGTAATTGTGTAAATGTACTCACAGATCCTCACTCGCTCACTCACTCACTTGTAACTTGGGCCACTATTCTGCGCCTCTTCCCTCCCTTGCGTCCTCCTCCAGGGTGTCCTCCTTAGTTCTTGCTGCCTCAGCTCCAAGAGGCGGCTTAAGACTATGGCTCCAGATCTGATTGCCTCAGCTCCAAGAGGCAGGTCACCCGGCTCCTCCTCCAACTCTCACCAGGTTGAAGGGGCTGACCTGGACAGCGGATCCGCCCACCGTCCAGTATTTTCACAAGGGTTGCGGTCACTCCCGACACTCGTGACCGCACAAAAAAACTCTCGGGAGTAGTTCATCCAGCTCGAAGGACCATGAAGAAGACAGAGGGTCGGCTTGCGAGGGATTTGGAATAACAACACAAACACCACTATTACTTTCACTTTTTATTCACTTCCGTTGTTCCTTGTTCCCGCTAGGGGCGCTGGTTGTACTCGCCAACGTCAGGTTTGACGAGCAACCTAACCAAATTGATGTAACGAAACCATAGCGCGATCTATCTCGATATTAACGCCCTCTATCGAGCGACGTGACAACTCTGACTAATAATATTTTATTATATTAAATGTTGATCGCGCTATGATCCCGTTACCGCTCCGAACAGTATGTTTGTAAACTCACCCACGACACAGGACAAAATTCTAGTGTGATGTGATGCATGCACAATTTGTGATGTTAAGATTTGTAAAAACTCAACGGATGAGAGTATCTAAGATGACTACCATATTGATATGGTGTATCAATCACCAGTTATTGGCGCAAAATTGATACTTTTTCGTTCACACAGCAGTGTGTAACCATCCTTACGTACACGTGTACCAGGTATTATGGACGAAGCAAGTTTATTGATAAAAATATTTTCTATATACAAACAAAAGCTCTGCTTTATTTAATACAAAACTGGATTACACGTTCTTGGAAATATTCTTACCTAAATGAAGATTGGCTTTCTGTGTTTTCTCATTCAGATTATTTTTGTATTCCTTATTTTTATATAAATTCGCTTCTAGTGTAGAAATTCTGTTTTTTATTTCTTTGTTAGAAATATAAAAGGTTTTCTTTTAATAATTTTGCGTTCAGGAATATATTGTGTATTTGTACGAAACCATGTCTAAATTAAACCAATGATGGGTTCTTTTGGAAAATTTCCATTACCCATTTCAAAATCGATATTTCAAATCACGCGTATTGAAGCGATAGAACCCACATATGAGTTCAAAAATCACCCTTTAGATCAATTGTCCAAAATTTTCTTTACGGTCATAAAATCATCTTGTCCTTTTTAGAGTTCATCTACAAATAATTTTACTGCTTTGTCACTTATTGTACTGAGTCAAACTCCTTTGTATAGTAGGCACCGTAAAGTTATAGCATTAGACTTAAAAACTTTTACCGTATTATGTCATACAACAGTTTCGCACAGAACTTAAACGTCCCTCCTCATTCATTCATCTGTCTGTATAAGAAGTATTTCGTGTCCTTCATCAGGACCATTCCCAAAATCCCCCTTACTGTCTTTCAGATATTCCACTAACCTGATCTGGACTAAGCGAGCTGTCTCCACTGGCATTCCTTTCCTGGTTCTGTGCTGTTCTTTCCTGTTTGCAAGCAGTGTGGTACTCCAATCGTGTGCGTTCCACCTTTTGCAGTAACTTCGCCCAGGGTTTCTGTGCCTTCTTGAAAGCTTCGTCCATTTCTTTTCGTTCTTTTAGCTGGATCATGGACTGTGGACAAAGATAAATAAACGTTAAAATTGGCAATGTGACAAAAATTTACTATTACTAAATGGATGAGGACGATATAACACAATATAATATCAAGGTACAAAAATTATTCAACAATAGGGTAGACGACTAATTTTTATTTTAATGTCCGTCTGATAGATTATTTAAAAACATTAGACACGTATGTTTTCTTTTCTCACAGAAACGAATAGTTTCGAAGATATATTGATTTGAAATGTCGCGTGACGTCACTTCTCAGTACATTTTACACTAAGAAATGACGTTTTAGCCCCCACTTCTAAACTTTGATTCGTTTTATCTAAGTATTGTTTTATTATACGACAAAATAAAAAAATACGTGTCTAATATTTTTTCATTACCTAACTTACGGACTAATTAAATTATATTTTTAATTTTCATACCCTGTCATCATCCCCATTAAAAAGATAAGATCGCAGAACACGCAAAAATTACATGTCAATTTGACCAAAGTGTTCAATTACGGAGATAACTCTACTGGCGTAATGTTTCAGGTATCAACGTCGACCTTTGATGCTGTTCGCGTCAATTTCAAGCCAATCTGTGGAGTGATTAATTTGTTGGAAAGCCAGACTGACCCAGTTTCCAGAGTTATCGGCCTATTGGTGTTACAAACGTATCTGGTAACAAAGAGCCGCTAAACTGTAGCTTCGCTTTGAGGGTGCTACATGGAAATTTCATGTAACTAGCGTTGTTTGGTGAATTCACGGTGACACGGTCTACCTTTTTGCATTGTTTGTTTAATACTTGGCTGTGGCTTTTTGTATTGAACAGCTGCTTGGCTGCTGCTTCTCACATATACGTACAGTATTGAAATATAAATCAGAGACATTGTATCAAATCAAATCAAATCACTTTTATTTGTTAACATAGGTGCATACAGATATAGGGTCTTATACATGGTTGTAGAACATACTTTTTTAAAACAGTAACGAATGAAGTTTATTGCTGCTTCTCCTCCATAATTGTATCTACATTTTGGAATGAGCACTTAGCTTCACCTAGCTTCACTGACGGACTGACTGACAGACTATTATTTATTTTATATTTGTTGCCGTTTCAAAAGTACCAAATTATGGTTTAATTGAAATAGATGGCTTTAACTTTGACTTCGAAGTGTTACAAGACCAGTTTGTCATGGTCTTGTGTTGTATGGTGTTTGTCCACATTCAACAGTCTCTTTATAAGGGTGAATAGCTTGATGTGTAGCGTGTGTACTACACAAGATAATGTTGTTTTAGCCACTAAACTTGCTACGTGTAACTTTCTAGTTTCCGAAGTTGTGTAAGTAAACGCTGAGGCGTTTGCGGAGTCACGTCTGAGGACACTTTACATAATTGAACGGCAAGATTTTGAGGATAAATTCTATTAGTTTAAAGGGGTACGTTGAAAATGTGTGGGAGTTTTGTTTTCATAGGTTTGGTTTTATTGTTTTCGTTGTAGATATTAATTAGGTGATATACCGTTATTTTATTTTTATTTATTTTTTGTTCTTTTAAAACATGTTCAATTTTCTATTGCACATGTAATAGTTACTTCTTTATATATCATAACATCACGCCTTTTATTCCCGAACGCGTAGGCCAAGATGCACATTATGAGTAACATCCACTTTTTCACGATGAAATAAGGGGTGAGCCTATTGCCATACACTGGCTCAATTCCAGACTCCGTGCTACTACTGAGATTAAAAACCCAGTAATACTTTGCCCGACTCAGAAATCGAACCCGAAACCATGCCCTGCAGCCACACTTGTGACCAGTCGGTCAACGAGGCAGTCCTGCTTTTTATACTAATCTCATAAAAATCATCTAAAAAGCAATCTAATTTTCAACGAATAAAGTCATATTTGCCATGATAATTCGTCTAACGTGTTGGAAACTAGACCAGACGTAAAAGACAACCATTATAAAATAATGTTTTAAGTAGACCTATAACAAATATAGACATGTCTTCATATTAGTATCAGTAAGATAATATATCTAATATTAATCTGTGTCATCGGCATACAATTAGAACAATAGTTTGTTGTAAAAATACGGAAAGGAGTATATAATACTTGTGTTATCGGTCAAATAGTGTCAATAGCCTACTGAGAAAATTTGTAATTAAGATCGTATCAAATTATTCAGCATAGATACTATTTACTTTTATGATAAATAGCTTAGAAAACTCATTGTTTTAGTAGACAAATGTTTGCCCTACTTTTCAAGCATATGACATGCCGATAAACTATTTATAATAGAGTTTAGAAAACCCTCTTAATTTCTTAGAAATTATTTATTTTCTCTGAATACATTACATTGCACTGTAATGTTTAGACAATATACAATGTGTCCCTATAAAAGGGTAAAGCTAAGGTTTTCCACGTTTACACCACACTAATATTCTAAACATGAAACTCTCTTTGTTTGGATGTTTGTCCGTCAATTATGCTGAAACCACTGAAAGGATTTTGATGGAATTTAGTATATAGGTAGGATAAAGGGTTGACTAAGGTGATAGGATATTTTCATCCCAATGAAATGCTCCCATAGGCAAAACCGCGGGTAAAAGCTAGTTAAAACATAAAAGTACAGATACTTAGAAAAACCCGTTTTCATGAAAAACTTAACAAGGGCGCTGAAATAAACGTTTTGCAAAATGAAAGTTAAGCGAACAAAGTTGTAAATGGTACCCAGGACACGACACGAGTAACATCGTCAGTAAATAGTTAATGAGACGGTAAAATGTGTGTTCCTACGAAAATGTTTTACACTTTAAATAAACTTTTTAAAAGAACCTTGGAAACCTTTTTAGTAATTTTGTCAGTGCGTCTAGTTTAGCGAAATTAAGTTATTCTTTTGCTGTCTTTTTATCTAGATTAATATTCTAGTTGTTCTAGTGTAGGTCCTACAAAAAAGATATTTTTTACATCATTTATTCTATTATGGACTAGGTCGGCAAAGGAGCTGACGAATCACCAGATGGTAAGCAATCGGCGTTGCCCATGGACACCCGCAACACCAGAGGAATCACAAGTGCGTTGCCGGCCATTTCGGGCTAGATTTTTTATATTTATTGAATTATCCTATACATAATAAGTTTAATGATGCAAGTATAAGTTTAAGGATCAGACTCAGGAGTCGTAATAAAATAGAGCCCCTAAGCCCCCCCGGGCTTTGACTGTCAATAAAAAACTATTAAACTGTCAAACACCAAGCGGTCACCGGTGACCGCAACCTATTGTTCTTTAATTGTGTCTATAAATACGGTACTCGACGAGTTAAAGGCAAATCCTCCGCGTATGTCGGTCACCGGTGACCGACGTGGCGTTTAACGTGATATCATTGGCTAAGATATAGATTATACCTAATATTTATAATAATGACGATCATCAATTATAAAGTTGATGATCGCATGATACCTGACGACTGTGATGATCACATTGTCACGTGATATATGTATATGCTTGTAGAATATGCATGTATGTCCATGTATTAAAACATTATGTATGTATACTGTCTGTGTATGTAAATACATAATAAGTTTTATTTAAGTGTGATGAGCATAACGCAAGGTTAGGTAAGCTATAATTTTATGGATGACTTAGAATAACATAGAGTCATAGTTGTTTTTCAAAGATGGGATAATCAGAAGTGCACACACAATACATGTAGCTTCTAATTATTTTTCTACACTTATTATTTATTTCTTTATTTTTATTTTTAGCTATGGTCGTCCCACTGCAGGGCAAAGGCCTCCCTACCCTCCTTCCACACTTGTGAAAAAAAAATACTAGTGATGTTTTCGTCTCATCGTAAACGTTAAAAAGCTTTTCCTCAACAAATAGCATTCATTTTAAACGTATCAAAATTGCCTTTTATAAGACATACGTTACCAATTAACAAAACACTTGTATCACCAAATATGTATAAAAAAATGAAAAAGAAAAACAAATACTAGTGGTTCCTTATCTTTGCGGAAGACCTAACGGGTTGCCGGGGCTCCGGCTCGAAGATCAGGAGTAGGAACGGGGTGGTTTTTAGTCAGTAAGAGTCTGACACTCCCTCTCGCCTAACCCAAGGCGCGAAAAGTCATTGGATGTTTTCCCCCCTCTCAAAAAAGTGTAGTTTTTTTATCCTACAGTTTTCCCTCAACGACTCATAATCGTCGTCATTAAAAAAATCGTTCGATTGTAATCCAAGAAATTACTTGTATTAAACTAAATTATCTACATACATACATCAGTACCTAGTACTGATTATAAAATATCAATCAAGTTACAACATAGGTATGGAATTCGCGATATTATACGGAATACGGATACGATTACCGAAACCCGTCAATATTGTGTATGTACTGCAAATGTACAGACTTTCACTTAAATGTAACCAATAAATCATTATACAGGAATAACTGCTGAAGAAACGTCCGAATACTGAAAGGCTACTCAAACAATATCGTGCAATCTCTGACATTTTACATAGAATTTGTAGTGACAGAACTATTGGTACTTAAGCTTGACTTAAACTTGAGTGGCCTTTGAGTATTTGAACATAAATCTATCATAATTAGTTCTAATAGCATTTTCATGTACACATAAAGTGTAATAACTTTCCACGCGAGCATTGCGATCGATTTATTAATTTTTTTACTTACACTTTTCTCAAGAAACACACTATCTATTAGTGAAAGCTATATAAAAATTAGTCCAGTAGTTTTTGAGTTTAACGCATTATACAGACTGACGTCAAAGACTTTTCTTTTGGACCGAACCCCAATGGGTCCATTCTACGGCTTCCAAAAGACGTAATCAAATCAAATCATATCAAATCAAATCAATCTATTTTTATCGAATAGGAGGCAAACGAGCAGACGGATCACCTGATGGTAAGCGATCAGCGCTGCCCATGGACACCCACAACACCATAAGAGTCACAGGTGCGTTGCCGGCCTTTTAAAAAGGAGTACGCTCTTT